CCTAAATGAATGTTTTTAACTATTCTTCCATCAAGCATTTTTGTGTTACTGCGCACCTTTCATACTTTCCATACATTTTCCAATTTTAATGAACAGACCATTGAGGGGAACAGAACCTTCTGTTATTTCTCAGCTGTGTTTTGTTTATGACGCATTTTGTCTGCTTCACTTCCTCCTGTCAGAGTCCGGTCACTCAGAATCTGATCTCTCGGTCATCCATGGTCACCAAACCCATATTACACAGTGGCAGAGCGTGAAAGGTCCACTGAGGCTGGCTGTCTCAGGTTGTTCTCTAGTGGAAGGCATAGGGCCTTGAACTGAATAGATTTTTGTGTTTATGATGCATGGATGGACTTTTAAAATGTATGTATCTGCATGTATTAGGAAATAATTTATGTAAGCAGTCGCCACTGTATACAGAGATTAGTTTTATTGTTTTATCCTTACCAGGAAACATACTTATAGCACAGATGCGTTGAGTTTTATATCCCTAGTGGAGCTAAATGTTGCTACCTTCTGCTCTAAATCAGAGCACTTTTTCATTTTGAATATATTTATTTTTTACCAGGAGTGAGTTGTCTATTTGTTAGAAGATTATTGTATTTGAACATGTTATTGGCATCGGGGGTGGCCTTGTTTTTCAAGGTTTAAGAGCGTTTTGTTAGATTTTGTCTGCAACTTTTGCTCTGATCTTAACCAAACCTCTGCATCACAACAAAAAGCAAACAAAGGCCAAATGGGCGTCTTTAACTTTTTACATTCTTTGAAAAGCTTGACTTCAACTACATTTTACATACAGTGTTACACAACTTATTCTTTGTGTTTTATTATTATTCTTTGTTTTTTACTATGTTGTTTTATAATAATTCTGTTTTTTATCTAACATGAGTTTCTGTTTTTCCTTGATGTGATTCTTACTCTATGAACCTTTTGAAATATTTAAAGCGTCAATATTTTGTTTCACTTACATATAAATATTGCTAATAAAGGTCTTTACAATATATTTGTTTCATTATCTGTCTGAAATAGTTACCTTTAGCTAACAGTGTTTTGGATTTTAAATAACTGATTGAAGATTGTGGTTACTAGGCCTCACATTGCTGCTTTAATACTTTCAGCTTGGATAATTGGCTAAGCAGCTGTGCATATGACTCTTTTAGTGCCAGCAAGGAATGACCATCATACAGGTAAATAGCAGATGGTTAGCCATACTTGAGGGGAATATATATATATATTTTTTTTATGTAGATATTCTCCAATTAAACTGCAGGCCATTGCCTTCACTGCTGCAGCTTGTTTTTTTTGTTTTTTTGGTTCCTTCTTCACTGTCTACTTTTAAATTCTTTTTGAAGACTCATATTTTCCCCCCTGCCGTTCAACACAGCACAGTTATTTGTTCTTTAGTGTGAGCTTTTGTGCATCAGATTGTTGTGTGCCTTTTTTTATTTTAATATTTCATTCTCTTATTTTACAGCACTGTGGTTCAACCATTTGTCTTTAAACGTGCTAATAAAACATATTGGATAGGTAGAACACTAACCAAACCAACTTGGTCCTATGAATGAGAATATTGCCCTATGGGGGCGGGGGGGATGTTTGTGACCATAGCAAAAATAGGTAGACAGAAGATATGAAAGTTACAAACTAGATGAAATTATAAAAAAGAAAATAAATTAAAACTTGAACACTTCAGATGAGGAGAAAAACTAATCCAAAAAAAAGAGCCAAATTACTTAAGTAGAACTTTTCAGCGGAGATGCTTCACAGAGGCTACTGTAATTGCAACCAAAATTACTCCAGCAGCTCATTGATGAATCATCCAGAAGGGAAAAACAAGAACCCACAGTAACATCAGAGGCTCTACAGGTATTAGTTGCCTCCATTAATTTTAAGAGTTGATAATTCAACAATATGAAAGAGACTGGGAGAAAATTGGCAGCTGCTGACACAAAAGAACAAGACGACGTGTAGTATCTCACATTTATCAATGACATCTTGATAATCCACAAGACTTACAGAAATATGGCTACAATTTGTGAACTGTATGCTGCTGGACCTAAAGACAGCAAACATTTCAGAGAAAGAAGTCTTCCCACTGAAGGGGAAACATGGTGGTTGGCGTGTGATGGTGTGGGCCTGCTTTGTTGATTTAAGACAGAGTTTCTTAACTCCAGTCCTGCATATTTTACCTGTGTCTTTGCTTAAACACAACTGAATCAAATAATCAGGTCATTAACAGGACTCTAAGGAACATAAATGCATCATGGGAAGGTAGTTAAGCTGTTTATTTAAGGTGTGTTAAAGCATAAACCAAAGGTGGATGACACCAGACCACAACTCACCACCCCTACTTGACATTTTTGGATGAGTCACCAAAATGAAGGGAATCATGATTTCTGCTCCCTAATAAAAAGCTTAAAGGAGAAAGTATGACCTTCGTTTTTTGACCCTAAGCTAAAACACGTCTCAGTTACGCAGAAACAAATTATCCAGTCAAGTTTCAGAATGACCTGGTCAAGACTCATTCTCATGCTGTGACCTTAAGGCTGCTCGTTATGCTGCAGAATATGTGTGTGGTTAAATTTAAATGTTGCTGCAAAGACGAATGGGCAAACCTCCTTCACTGCCATTTAGACGATTCAAATCAAGCTCAGTAAAACATTTCAGTTGTCATAAGAGTGGCACAAAGAGTTAAGCTCTGAACACACTGAATGCGATTTTGTGCCTGGTCTGACAGAAATTCATGTCAGACAAGGTCATGGCGTTTAGTGCTCATTGACAGACACAATGTTTTGCAAGCGGGCTCACATAGCTCCGACTGAGATAGACTCCAGGTCTATTTTAGTCAGACATGAAGAGAGACGCGGTTAAATAAAACACATCCACTTGGGGGAAAAATACGAAATAAAATCTGTTAATTGCACGGGGAAAGTGTCAGTTTTTGAGTCACACATCGCGTATACAGTAGACAGTAGTCAGACTCGTTCAAAAACAATCAATGAAACATGAAAAAATAGAATACTTTACCCATGATAGGAGTTCAGGAGGATGTTCAGGAGAAAACGGATAAATTAGTAATCCTCTTTGAGCCATGCAAAAAAAAAAAAAAACAACAAAAAAAACAGGTGAGAAGACGGTGCAGGTGAACAAAGCGCATCTCTCTCCCCTCCATGACAAATAAGAAAACCTCCTGTAAACTTCACAGATCTCTTTCTGAGAAAATCACCTCTCCCTACCTCAGTCAGCATAAAAACCGCCCCGCAATGTTTATCGCTGGGTCTTTTTTATGTTTAGATGTAGATATAATTTTTTTTTTTTTATTATAGGCATATAAACATTCTCTATCTGTTCCGATTTGAGATGCTGCACAGACTCGTAAGTAGGGCATTGCTTTATAGAATGTGCCAATATTTTTATTTATTTATTTTTAATAGCTTCAAGTAGTCTGTCTAATTCAAATGTGGGAAATTGTTTTATTTGTGTGGTACAGAGATACAAGTGAAAAAAAAAATAAAAATCAGCACAGATCAGCCCATCCTGCCTAGTTGGAGCCTTTCTATACGCAGTCAGTGTGACGCACACAAAATTGTATAAGAGATTAAAAAGTCGTACGCAACCAGCGTGTTCAGGTCTTTAGAGTAACATTGCAGTTACCTTGTTACGTAGGGCTGGGTGGGTTTATATAACTTTTTAACCTCACATGGATTCATCATATTAAAACAGCAGGTTTTAAGTGTGATTTTTTTTATTTTATTACATTAATTAATGTCAAAATCTATAACTAAATAATTTTCAGCTGCATTTCCTTTTCAGAAGTTAGTGTACATCTACTGATAACAAGGCTGACAGACACATTCATTTTGTGCACTCACCAATTTTTGTTGTTGTTTTGCAGTTTGGGACGATGTAGAACAAACACTTGCAATGAAATCGGAAAAAACAAACAAACAGCGGATTCGACGTTTATTCTTTTATTTATTTTTTCTTCCTGATTTTTCTGTTAAATCATCTGAATATGTCTAAGCCTAAACATTTCAAATAAAATATTACCATCAGATGAAAAAAATATTCATATGGACAGTATAACTACTGTACCCCAAAAATAGCAATACCCAAGCCTTCCACAAACTGCAAACACTAAGATACTCCAGATCCAAATTATCATGTTGACTCTTTACTAAATATAACATTGCTTCAAACGTTTCTGGATTTGTTTGTATAATTTTCACCCATTCTTAATCCAGTAGCTGTACACAGAGTAATGCAACTTGTTTTCGTTTTTTTAATATTGCTATTGCAATTATTTGTTGCATAATCATTCTGCCTTACAAAATGAATGGTTCAAATTAAATCCTTAAAAGATCCAAAAGAAGGATATACATGGCCATGATGAAAAGATATAAACCTCTCATAGAAATTGTATGTACATATTTATGTAACCTCCTTTCTCATCACAGCTGAATTACATGCTCTTTATTTTTCTTCTAAGAACTCCAAGTATACACTTAGTGCAGAAAATATGTCCTTGAATGTTCCCTTTAATATTAATGGGCTTCAGAAAGCATTAACCCTGAAGCAGTTTTGTTGTTACTCATGTCCAACAGTTTGGACAAAGATATTTAAAGGAAAGTTGTTTCAATTTTGCTTTTTTTAAGGTAAAACTGAATGTGAAGGATGCTAATGTGGTTTTCGATGTGAGCATAATCTGTGGTGAAAAAGTATGCAGAATTCGTTCCCCCATTTGTCTTTGACTGGTTTTAGCCATTTCCTGATTCAATTTGATAATATCTCTGGATCTGTTCTTGATTACTTGTTCTTTTCCACACACATTTTTATATTTTGTGTGTTATGCAGTTTTAATGATCCCTGTTTTACAGACTGTTAAGTAGAAATTATCTTCACCTCCTGTTGTAGTTGTATTCCACCCTCCCTTCTGTTTATATGTTGTTGTTTTTTCGTGGTAAACCTGAAAAATGTCTGCTTTCTTTGTTTTTTCCTAGATTGTCATCCCTCTTGCCAGCGCTGTACTGGTCCATCTGCAGAAAACTGCTCGTCCTGTTCCTTCCCATTTAGCCTGTTTGAGGGTCAGTGTGTTTCCACATGCCCACAGGGCCTCTTCAGCCGGTACAACCAATGCCAAGGTGAGAAACACATAATTGTGCCTTTGTACTCAATTCTGTAGCATTGCTGTCCCAAGGCTTCAATTATAACCTCAGCTTTAAACTTTAAGCTCTGACACAGCTTTCTGAAAAGGTAAGCACTCCACAGATGTCCACTTTAGTTAAAGATGTCCTTGTTTTCCAATGGTTGGAAGCTTTTTTAGTAATCGGGAACAGGTTTACTTTAAAACTGGACTTTTCTCTGTTGTCAGTGATGGAGAAACTTTTTTAAATTATTTGTTGCGAAGTGAGAATTGTCTTAAAAAATTTGAGTGAAAATTGATTGCAATTTCATATTTTTAATTGCAATTTCATGTTTGAGAGCTTTGAAAAATTAGAGATTTTAAAGTGTTTTTTTTTTTATCAGTTTTAGATTTATCAGGGTGTTAAGTTCTGGCAAACGGTGGGTTTAGATTTCTGTTTTTTTCCTTTTCTCTTGTGAGCTAAAACAAAAACTCTGTTTTATGAACAAAAAGAAGATGAAGAGTGTGTGGGTACAGTACAAATGTTTATAATCCTCTGCAACATGTCACCAATTTTTATGACCACGGGTTCTCAGCAGGCTTCAGATTCATGGAGTTTCTACTCCACCGGTCAAAGCTCTATTGTTCTGATAATTTTTCAGAACTACAAATAAACATTAAGGATTCACACGTATTTACACGCAAATCGGATCTGGATGTTCGCTGCAGACTATCCACAGAATTCACAGTGGAGGTCAAATTTCTTAGCACTAATGTCTCTAGTGCTAAGAATATAAAAAAAAACAGGCCAGTCAGCCTGTGCAGATGGCCGCTCACACTGAGCCTGGTTCTGCTGGAGGTTTCTTCCTGTTAAAAGGGAGTTTTTCCTCTCCACTGTCGCTACACGCATGCTTAGTGTGAGGGATTGCATTCAAGTCAATGAGTCAATGCAATCAACTGGTTTTTCTTAGATAGAAAACTTTGAATCAATTTGACTGTATGATCTGGCGAATTATAAAGTGCCCTGAGATGACATGTGTTGTGAATTGCAGCTATATAAATAAACTGATTTGAACTGAATTGAATAATTGTCTGCTGTTCAACATGGTAGTTTCTGCAGCCCTTCTGAACCCAAACATGGGCCTAACTCTACATGCCCAAATCAGGTTTCTTCCAAACTTACAAGAATGCAGAGGTTTCTAAACTGTTTAGCTTCCGACCAAAATGTATTATTATTACAAAAAGCATCAGCAACAAAATTAGCTGTTTTTTTTTTTCTTTCTATTTTTAAGTGCTGCTTCTAAAGCGTTAAGCAATTTAGTTGAAATATGTGTTGTTCAGTTTAATTTCTAAAGTGGATCTTAGGACCCATACTGATTAATTAAGGATCTGAAGTTGGGTCACAACATCTATTGGCTTTAGGGTCCATCAACTGACAATCATACCTATGAGACCTAATGTTTATTTTAAAGGACACAAAACTCTAGCACACAAAACTCTATTTACTTAAAACCCATAATCATAATTTTTATCAATTTATACACAAACATAGTTTTGCCTCGAAACACCTTCCAAAACTGTGGTCTCTCTTTGTTTTTTTTCTTCTACAGTAGTTGTTGTCTTTGTAGAAATGGTCTAGTCTCATTTTAAACAGTAAAATTCTCTGTTGCTACAAAACAGACCCCTGATCTGTCTTCTCAAACAGAAATCCAAGCTGTTTGTGCAGCCCAGTTCAGATCAATGTGGTTTAATTTCTAGGGACATCGAAGGACCGGATCTCATGCAAAATTGTTTCCACTCTGTTCTGGAGGTTATAAAAAGTGTTTGTCCTGCTCTGCATATAGCCTACATAAAGACTCCAGCCACCATTGCTGAGCAAGCTCTGCATTGGTTGTCCTGCTTTCTGTCATTGTCATTACAAAAAAGTTAAAACAATCCACTGGACTTAGTTTTCCAAGTTTGAAGATGTTACACTTCCCATCCAGAAAGGTTTTTCAATTCAAAACTTGCGTTGAGTTCCAAGCTTTAAAGAGTGGACAAACAAAGCCTTGTTTTTATTTAGAAAACATACAAATTGAACCAGAAGAACAGGTTTTACCTTAGGAATGTGGGTCAATGAGGTCTTTGTTAGCCTGCAATACCCGATACTGATCTTTCTGTGATTTAACATCAAGTTCTTTATGATCTATTAATTTATTCAGCTGCAATGCCCCCAACAGCAGCACATTTTAATGCAAATCAAGGATGTCTACATAAAGGTAGACACGGATACCTTCATCTTAGCTAATGAGATAGCGTTAGCTCTTACTTTCTTTGTGCAAAAGGACAATTCTTTTTTACAAAAAAGTTATGGTATTGCATATTTTGAAATGAATCCTAAATCTGATTAATCTAAACATCAAAGTGAACTGTTGCCAATAGAAACTAAAGCTATCTAGTTTCTAAAACATCACATTCATGGCCATCGCTTGATCTTATCAGTACCTTCTGAATGACCTCTCATTTTTAAATACTGCTTTCAGTTGATTTTAAGTACAGCATGAGGAAGCCCCTTTGTCTCAGTGACTCCTGACGAATATCAGAAACCCCATTAAATAAGATTACAGCTGTATTAGTACAATAGAATGTTAACAACTGGAGAGATCTCAGCATGGCTTTCCATTGTGTTTGTCCTCCTCATTAATGAAAATCCATTTGCTGTAATCTATCATTCATTATAATAGCCTGTTTTACCGACTCTGACCCGCTCGCAGGAATATGACCCCCTCCCTGTCTCACATTAAGCAGCTCCAACCTTTCAAGTGTTTTAAATTCAATTTAGTTTTTCATCTTGAAAAGTATCAAATAAAACTGCATTAAAGTTGGGCTTCTCTCTTACAGCTCTTAGTCCAGCCTTGGTGTGAGTAATTGCTAATGAGGAAGAACAGATCGTTAAGAAGGATGTTCTGTTTGCTTACTTTGTCTCCTTCAGAGTTAATGTGCTCATTAGGGAATACCCTAACGAACATTTAGATAATATCTTAGAGAGATAAGTGTTTTGTTTTTTGGTTTGTTTTTAAGGTTTTTGGCTTCTTTTGCATCATATATTTTTCTAAAAGATCGCAAAGCAAGAACTTGGACTCAAGTTCATAAAAATAGTCATTTTAGGTCCTTTCCTGCCCCAATGTCCAGCTTACCCTCTCCTCTAGGAACCATAAAAGAACGATCCTAAAGCAGTTATAACAATCACAACAACAAAAAACATGTGACCTAAAACTATAAAGTAAGCAGATCAGATTGAAGTGCATTTCAGTCTTACATAAACAAAGGCAAGTTGAATAAACTATAATTAAAATCAATCTTTTCTCCTTTTTTCTGTTTTTCCTCTTCTGTTTTACTTACATTGCAGTGTCCATATGATCTATAAAAGTCCCTGCATAATTATAATAAAGCAATTTATATGCATGAAACAAGTGGAGCAGTAGGGCAATAGGCATACTGCTCCACTTGTGAAAGTAAAATCTGTTGGGCTCTTTTTGGCATCAAGACAATTATTGTTATTGCCACATTGCCAGACAGGATACTGTTAAAAAAAAAAAATTAAAATCAATAAATGACATACCAATTCAAGACGGTTCATGCCCAGACTAGAAATAAACAGCTCCATGTTTGCAGCCTTTATGGTTAAATAAGTGAAACCAGATCTTTAGGTGAACTTCTGCTTCCCTTTTCAATTTTTTTATTTATTTTTAAATATAAAAAAAATTTATCAGTATCCATAGGTATATTTGTAATAGATTGAGGGAAGAATGTCATCTGGTTCAGAAAAATAGCCACCCTCTGTTAGGTTTAAACACACAAACGCTAAATAATATGGGGAAGAAGGACAACAGACATTAGATTCTTTTTACTCGCGAGGAGAATGTGTTCAGTTACAGTAGTAGCCATTCAAAATTTCCCCACTTTCCTTGATGGGCCCTTGGCTGGTCCCCTACAATTCCCTTTTAAACATCAATCTATGTACTAAAATATGCTTTCTGTCATGTGGATATTAAGATCTAGACAGAAGCGTTATCTCATGGTCAGACCCTGTAATTCATTGAAAGGGTGGAGTCAGAGTAAGAAAATGTGCACACCCAGGAGCAGGCCAGGGGCTGGAAGTTGAAGGGGATTTTGCTGGGATTTGCAGGGAAGTGGGCTGCCATCCGGCTGGCGTTTCACTGGGAAGAAGGGCCCTTTTCAATGACTGCTACTGTACAATGTCCTACTGCTCTGAAGCATGCTCCCCTATCTCTCTCTTTTTATTTCGTATTGGGAGGACCCTATACTTACATGACCAGCAACGTTATCTACATAATACAAGCATAAGCAGTTTCAAAAGGTTCACCCTGGGGTCAAAAGCATGTCACTATCTTCTGGTTCCAGGAAAAGCTCCTTCTGCCTCAAAAGCAGACTTGTGGTGGGTGTTGCTTCACACTTATATTTATTAAAACACTGCCCACTTGTTTGGGGTGACTCAACAGGTGCAGTTTCGCTAACCGCCTCTGCAAAGACACTCAGCATAGACTATAAAGGCCACTCTAGGGTCATTGTATTCAAATACCGGTAGATATTTCAGTTAAAAAAAAAAAGTAAAAAAAAAAAAAGGTATTAGAAAGGAGTAAATATGAGATAAATTTATATACATTTGTATATATATGCACCAATCAATTCCTCAGAAAGTTAAGCAACATTAAAGTTTTCACTTTAAGCCACAACAGAAAATATATAACAGACTCTATAAAAGTGTGAAATCATTATAGGAATGAATGTTTGCATTGAGATAAAATCATTAATCATCTTATTTAACAAACTGTTTTAATAACTGTTTTCTGGATTTAAGCATTAGAATCTCTGTGGATTCAAAGCTAAAGCTCTTTATGCAAAGGATAAGTCATTTTTTAAATGCAAGAATCTGTCCGCTGCTCTTGCATGGTGTAGCTAAATAGAGGGGACTGTTATCGCTCACCAATCAGTCTAGATCACCATTACCCTACCTGATTTAAGGAATTCCTGTCCTTTAAAGATATGTGACTGAACCATGACACCAATAGAAAAGATCAAACATATTCACTAATATCATGATAAAACACTGTCATTATAGTTCGGTCGATACAGGTGCAGGAGAGGTTTGTAAAACAGAACAGAAACTGATGAGCCTTTTCACACACAGCTGCACAGTAGACATCAAAGTTCAATTTGTCATCAATGCCAGTCTCCAGGTATTTACAAGAATGGACAAATTCAGTGGTCTGACCTTTCATTAAAACAGCATTTTGCTTGTGTGGGTTCCTCCAAAAATCAATGACACAGACCTTTCGTATTTCCTGTGTTAAACCCGGAGGTAAATCGCCTCGCACCGTTGAATAAAGTCATTAATAATTGGACCATTGTTGCTTTCGTTGTCCTGAGGCAGACTGACAGCAAAACAATCATCTGCACACTTTATAATAAATCTGTCATCATGTCTGCTTTGACACATGTTTGCATAAAAGAATAAAAAATAAGACAACTTTTCATGAATCCAACCCACCATATTTGTTGTCTAAATTTAAACTTTTATATAAGCCTTTCGATTAAAAGTTGAGGTTGAATTGCATTAAAAGACCAGGAAATTCTTCACATAAAGTTCTGGCATGTGTGTCCCACTAAGATCCAAATGTCATAAATCTAAGACTGAGAGTTGATTTAAAAAGTTGTTCTTCTAAGATCCCGGTTTATTATCTGTGTATTTGGGTAATGTCTTCCTGCGTGTTGCCATCATCACCTTGCATTAAGATACTGATGCTAGGCACCATACAGCTGAAAGAGCACAACTTTTAGATCATCCAGAACGTAAGGGTTAGATGTTCACCCACAGAAACCAACTTCGAAAACCACCAGTGCAGAGCTTGTTGAGGGTTTGAAGTCACTTTGTCCTTTTCTTCGTCTTGATATGATTTGGACACAATGTTATCAGCCTCTATTGCTAAATATCTTAGCAGTGATACAGATGATCCAATTTTCTCTCTAAATAGTGACATCTACAATCTTCTCTGTATGAGGATTCAGACGGATTAGCAACACATATGAATATTAATATGAATAACTATTGTTACAGTGTGACCTGTCAAGGGGTGGCTAGACTATAACTTAAATGATCCATTCTTTTAACACCTCAGGCAGTGACATTACAATTAGAGCAGTTTAGCGAGTTTACTGACGATAAGGACATTTTGAAGTTTTACACTAAAGAGGACTTCAGGTTGAACCACAGGCCAAAATTAAAAGGAAGCTGCCCGATGTTTGAAAAGAACTAACCTGCTTTATAATAGATAAATGTTATATATATAATATAATAATAAAGAAAAACAAAAGAAAAGGAACTTAATTTCTGGGCTAAAATAAACAGGAGAAAATAAAAGGCAGTTCATCCAGAAAAAGTCCTCAAAGTATTGATATCTGCAGCCTGCAGTTGCGTCTTCTTATATGTCGTCTTCACTCGGGCTGTCAATCCGCATCCATCCTTCTTTTGGATCCACTAATCACAAATAAGTATCTGCATGCTCAGATATAGATAATCAGAAACTGAAGCATAGAACACTTTTCTTCGCAGTCATAACACTTCGAAAAAAGAAATTTAATCAATCATCCAGACCTGCTGTGTGTTAAAGAAGCCTTAGGTTGAATTTAACTGAGTTCATCAGGATCTCAGGATATTTACACTCATGAAGGAAAGTCAGGTAGCATAATCAAAATAAAGCTGAGAAGGGTGGAAATATTAACCAATATTCCACCATTTGCAAGGCTCCTACACTAATCCAAGAGAGCCGGAACTTTTGGAAAGCTCCCCTTCGACTTGGAGACCCAGGCACGGAGCAATGGCCCTCGTCTTAATCCTATTTCATTTTTGGAAACAGGCCTGTGAACCACTGCAGATTTTCATCAACATTTGTGTCCTCATTTTTCTCCAGCATGTCATCCATCCTGCCTGGCCTGCTCCGGCCCCTCCCAAGCCGACTGCATCTCCTGTCCCCCAGGGGCCTCCCTGCAGAGCGGCTACTGCACGACAGGCTGCCAGGAGGGCCGTTTCCTCAGCGCCTTCAGTGGAGAGTGTCTCAGTAAGTCTGCTTTCATTGCTGTGGTTTCATGAAATATGCTGCCAGGAGAGCTTGTTTGTGCAACAGTTCTGGACTCTATTGGGAAATTAATCCGACTCTAGCAGGAATTGTGCCTTTCTCTGCCCACTGGGCTTTGCATGATGACACTCTCAGACACGCAACTCTGCTGCAGGTTTTCAGAAACCTGCATTATTTCATGTAAACATTCTTCCTCATTACATTTTATTTTTTCAATCCAGCCTTAAATTGCTTTGTATATTTTCATCTTTAAAGATCACATTTCTGGTAAGAACTGCAAAGTTGTATGTTATCCCTTTAAGCACTTTCTCTCCTTTGATAGATGGGTCTGACTTTTATATGAAGGGCAGGTTTTATTTTAAATCTCTTGCCAAAGTGTTTCGTTATTGAGCTTGTGATTATATTTCAGAAACATTTACATCTTAAATTAAAAGAATCCCCCTCAGCATAAAGGATCTCATTTGCATCAAATCATAGAGTGAGGATTAAATTCCTTACAATCAACTAAAAAAAACAAGGTAAATAACTAAAAGCATCTTAATCAAACCGGCAGCTTAGAAACCTGAATGTTGCATCGAAATATTTATGTTTAAATATCAGTCCTGTTCCGGTATCCAGAGGGATCCGGTTCATCCAACAAAAGATGTTACAGTGTGGATCCCACTAACAGGTACTCAGTTATCTAATTAATAAATAAAAAAAAAACATCAGTATGTTATAACGTCAGAAATCATCATAGAGATCTGTGACTTTTAGTTTTTCATTTATTGCAGATTTTAATGAACAGTTTAATGATGTGTTTTTTTTACTCTGGTGACAAGTTGGAATCACATCCATGTTGGGCATCGGCATGGAAGAAGAGAAAGAGCCCCACAGTCTGTCGCTGCACCCGGCAGTTCATCAGTTTAGAGGCGTAATGTCACCTGATGTAACAATCTTTTTAAAGATTGTTGTGATTTTCAACAGAGCATCAGATCTTTTTAATAAAATAATGACCATAACCAGGGCAGATCTGAGCTTCCACCATGTTTGAAAGCTTCCCTATTTCACCCTCCTGTCTCAATCCGTCAGCAATCAGACTCTAGTTCAGCCCTTCTTTTTTCACCAGACAAATATTTTTTTTCTTACTCTTGTGTGGAGACTGCGATGGGGTTTGGGGTGAACTTATGGCTGATCTTTGTGATCCATCATCCAAAAGTATCAACAATGTTTTCTCACTGCAGCAGGGGGCTCAACCACACAAGGTAATTGGGCCCAAATCACTCTCTAAAGAACTGACTAATGGAGCCTACTGAGTTACCAGAGTAAAAGTCATTTTAAATTTTTATTACCATTTTGAATTTGCACTTTTAACAATAAGTTAAAACTCTGATTGAAGTGATGACCTGAAGAAAGTGTATCAGCTATAGCCAACAAGCAGTGTACATGTTTAAGCTGTTGCTGAATTAAAAGCTTTCACTCTATTTTAAAGAAACATGTAAGATAAAGGGTCGATCCAGAACTAACGAATAAATGCAATTTATACAGCATGTAGCAAGGCTAGATTCCACCCTGGTAAACGTAGAGGTTGGCAGTTAGATCTGGGTTAATGTGAGCTGCAAACGTGCCCTGATCAGCCCTGTGATACCTACTGCCCTGAGACAGAGTGTCACCCCACGGATATAATATTCTTACTGTGTGTTCTTTTAAAAACTCTGCCAGTAGCAGCATGTGCTTAAAAAAATGGCATCTGATTTCGGGGCATCGTCCTTTATTCATTGAACTTTAGCTGAACCCGTTTCTGTTGCACTTAGTTGTATTAAGTTTTTATTGATAAACCATGTCCTGTTCAACTCTGAAACCCCTTTGTAAGGATTCCGCCTGCTGCTCTAAATGCAGCGAGACAGATTCTGGATGAATTTGCTACACTTGAAGTGCACTTGATTTATTTCCTATTTTATTTATTTTTGTTCCATTAGAAAAACCTAAAATAGAGCGAAAATTTGCTGTCATTGGCAACAAGCTTTGGGTTTCAATGAAGCTTAAATTAGAAATAATTTAAATCCTGACATTTATTTTCTATTTAATGACTCTAAAAGCATTTGGCTGCAACTATAAGGGGGGGTGAACATGAATGCATGCCTCTGTTTCCATAATTTTCCAGTTCAATATGTCCTTCCTTCTGCAGTTTGCCTCAAGTCATGTTACCCTTCAGCTACACTGGAAGAGTGGAAGCAGCGTGTACAACCTGCAATCTGGCTGATCGCAGCAATTCTAGTTAATCAGAGTTGTTCCACTGAAAGGGCAGCAGCCTGTTTCAGAAGCGTCCCAGAAGCGTTGGCCGCTGGTGGCTTCAAATCCAACTCAATCTGGAGCAGCATGGATTGTTTAGACAGGAAGGCAGCTGATGAAAGGCAAAGCGGATCTGGCTACATGTTAAGACTTTAAACACATTTCCTGGAGTTATATGTGATAATACATATGTTTATACTGTTAATCACCAACCCTAATGAATATAACCATTAAATCAAAGGAGAAAAATCTGAATATTTGAACTAATTTAGCCACAATTGAAAATTTATGGTGGTAAACAAAGAGCTAGCACTTGAGAACTGGTTAAATGGGATTGTTCAAGTTTTTTGACATGAATTTGTGTGAAATGTTCACCATCTATAGCTGAGATGTAACAGTGTCCCCACTATCGCTGAGCCTTCTGCTCTGAGAAACGGCCTCTAACTTATCAGAGAAAAAGTAGTTCCGGTACTTTTCAGTAGCACGCATGATTAAAGGTTTTTCAGATAGAATAAACTGTCCAATTTTTTATTAGTCTATTTCAAAAAATTTTCAATATCCCAGCGCTATATAAGACATTGATCTCAATTAGGACTGCGTAGGTAAGGAGGACAGTTCCTGCGAACCGATATAAAAAATAACACGCCCAGTCATTGAATGTTTATAAAAGTGAACTAGAACATTATTACTGATGAAAATATATACTAGCCCTATATAGTATTACGAAAACCTGCTCAGGCTTGTGACATACCCACTTATCTCAGCTGTCGTAAACAAGTAGACAAAAAAAATTAAAACAAAAGGGAAGATAGATTAAATAATGTTGACAAAGGTTGAAATGGGGAATGCTGCTAAAATGTTTGTTGGTGGATTTTTAAAAATCCCTATAAGGACAGTTTCATGGTCCTACCTCCAAGGGAGACACCGGTCAGCTGCAGCCTGTCACCCGAGCTCAGGCTCAGTCTCCCCGGCAGACTCCTCCGGTCTAACGCTGTCCTCCTCTGCTATCATCCTGAGCTAGCACCGGCAAAATACCGCCTCTCATTTGCTCTGCTGCGACCCAGAGTGTCAGTCTGTGGGAATGGGGCACAAACTCAGAACATCAGGATTCCAAGCTCTATTCCCTAACCACTACAGTAGGCCCCCACTCCCCCTGCAGGGCAGAGTGATATTGCCCGAAAAGTGTCCTAATTGATATCTATGTCTGACATAGTGCTGGGATGTATCAAATTGCTTAAATAGTCTAGAAAAACACATGCATAATCTGGAAATGGAACTGCGTTTTTTGCGGTACCTTACCGGACGTTTTTTTGTAGCAGGAAGTTCGAGGACGGTAGAGGCACTGTTACATCTCAGCTGTTGATTGTCAATGTTTCACACAACTTCATGTTCAAAACCTTGAACCTTCCTTTGAAGGAAAAGCACTTTACGGCTTTATTGTTACAATAAATCTGACTTGATCTCTGTCCAGCCGTGCTTCGTTTTGGAAATGCTCCCAGTGAAATAGTGTTTCTGGGAGAAACTCTGCTGCGCCTCTAGCCCCTTGGATCCTAGGAGCATACCATGCACTCACCATGGCCACAGTGAAAAACTATGGTGGCAGCATCATGCTGTGGGAATGTTTTTTTTTTTTTTCTTTAGCAAGGATAGATAACTAATCAAAGTTAATAGGAAGGAAGATAGAGCTAAAAATGACTGTTTTAAAGAAGTTTCAGAGGCTGTGGAGGACTTAAAACTAATCAGAAGGCAAGATTTACCCTCTGGTTGCACAACAGACCCCGTCATACAAACAGAGCCATTGTCATTATACTTTAGAAAGACACAGGACTCCTATCTGTTTGCTTTAGTCATGAACATGTTTGTGTTGATCTATCATGGGATGGGCATCTCCAGTCTCCTGGTATGTCCCTGCTCCAGCTCACCTGAAACAAATAATTGGATAATTATAGAGACTCTGGAAAGCTGCATGCTAAGGATTGGACTCAGCTTTTGGATTGATGTGTGTACTTATTCCTGGTCTAACACATGAATCCCTTTAAATTATCTTAAGGTCTATGCCTAAAACTTCATGAAATTAAAAAAAAATATATACACATTATTATTGGTATTACTCTATTAAAAAGGTCTATTATGTCAACTAGGCTAGTGGCAAAATGGACCCAGTATTCTGCATTGTGTAGGTGTTTCCCTGCTGCCACACACCTGACTAAAATAAGTGGACGATTAATAGGCCTCTGCTGCACTTACTGTAGTGGCCAATGAGGCAATGCATTCATTATAATTAGGTGTGCTGAAGAGAAGGGCATCTAAAATGTGAAGGGCCCTGAGAGGCAGAGTTTAGAATCACACATTTCTGTTTACAGAAATGGGTTATTGTTTTCTGCTGCTCCTTAAGACACATCATCCCTCCATATCAACAACATGCTGATCCAGCTTTATTAAACCATGCCTCCAGAGATCATAATGTGAAAGAAGCGTGCAGCTTACTGTTACCTCGCAGCACGAAAACCAACTAAAAGGCCTATTTATTTATGTATGTACTGTCAAGATTAGAAAGTTTTCTTTCAGCAAACTATGCTGAAATGTGCCCTTTAAATATGGGCCTTTATAGAGCTCATAGCTGCAGGAGTAAATGACTTCTTCAACCATCTGGTTCCACAGTGAGGCAGAACTCTCACCTCAAGGGAAGGTTTGGGTCAGCAAACTTGATT